ATATTACACATAAGAAACACAAATTTACATGTTGGTTTGCTTTATTCCTTTCACATTTTTAATGTGAAATAATTCCACATATTCAAAATGTTGATGGTTTCTGTGAAACATCTTGCTGTGTACATCTGCATGGAATAAAATTTATAATCCTGTTCTCAAAGTCTCCAGTGCTGAGTTACAAACGTGCTTCATTGTTTCTGGATGTTCGTTCTTTTTTTGATGTGTGTACTTTCATTACAACTTTAAATCACACCGATTTATTATTTACACTTATTTTAAAATTATACTCACTTAATAATAATAAATTACACTTATTTTCTTTACTAAGTGTGTAGATATACTTGTTCCACAGCATGCTAATGGAGGTCAGAGGTCATAGAAAGCAGTTTTCTCCTTGCATAATGTGGATCAGAGTCAGGGCTGGCAGTTGGCAGCAGGTACTTATATACTGATCCTTGTTGCTAGCCCAATCTTACCATCATCACTTTCCTTAGTCCTTTTTCTTCAGGCAAAACAGTAGTCACTGGGCTTGGGCCAAACAAGGTCTCAGCATTATTTGACTTTCTTGCATCACAGGTTAAAGGTAGGGCCACATTTCTTCTTGAGGCAGTTGACTGCACAGTATTGCAGTTGTGTGCAGAACTTGTGGGCAGCAGTGTACAGCTTTATCATAGTTGTGTCTCTGGAGAAACTGGCAAAGGGATGGCTTTTTGATGCCACCACACAGGCACAGCACCAGGTGATTTGTTGGACTCTTTGTGGACCTTGCTGTTAGCCAGGGTGCAACCAGCCTCTATCTCATTGTCCAGGAATGTCTAAGTATTTAAAACATTTTAAATGCCATATTCTGTAGGTCTTTGAAGTGCTTGAAGATCATATACCTAATTGAAATATATCTATATATACCTAGAAAACTTAACTAACATGATTTTAAGTTTGATTATCATGGATGGCTAATTATTAATCTGTATTTTTTAATTATTCATTACAATTTCAATGAGCTACACAAACATATTACCTTAAACAAGAGTAGAAATATATATACAGTATAAGAAAATTAACTTTAAATTTGTATCAATAAACTAAAATCCATAGCAATGTGAAACAAGTTGTTCTTTAAAAGTAGATTCATTAATCTACTCTTTCATCCAATTATATCTGTATCATACCCCCTTTTTTCTTTTAGAAAGATATTGACAATGACCCATAGCAACTTGTAACCAATCTCTAACAAAGACAAATATCTATAATCCATTTTTTTTCTGGAATGTGGGTGTAGTGTTCCAGGTTACTTCCTGCTGATGGAGGGCACCGTATTCTTATGGGGATCCTGAGAAAATTAAGAATTATGATCAAGTCTTGAGTGGAATAGTCTGTGATGCTGCATTCTATGAGCCAGTTGCCTTGAAGCCGCTCTGGATGTTGGATCATCTGGGCCATGATGCCATCAGAGACCTTTCAGAGGGCCTTGGATGATCAACCATATCAGCCTGGAAGTAATCCACATATGGTGATATCATATTTGTGCTGAAATGTGATTTTATTTGTATGTTAATAAATAAAGTTGCCTGGGGGTCAGAGCTAACAGCAAGCCATAGCGGAAGACTGGCATTGGTAACACACACCCTTAATCTGATCACATGGCATGCAAAGTCTCTGTGTTCAAGGACATAGCCGGCTTGGAGACACATGCCTTTAATCTCAATACCAACCATAGAGACCTGGAGGTCTGTATAAACAGGCAGTGACAAGGAGGTCATGTGGTTAGGTTTAGAACCAATGAGAAGGCAGAACAGAATAAAAATACAGACACACAGGAAATAGGTCTCTTTTCTCAGGGGAAGGATGGCAGAGGCTGGTGCACTAAGGGCTACTCTCTAGTGCTCTGA